AAATTACAATACAAAAAAAAAAAACAGTAATAAAAATGGTGTGGCATTGGCAGCAAAACAGACACATTGACCAGTGAAACAGAATTGAGAGTCCAGAAGTAAACCCATATTAAAATGGGCAAATAATTTTCAACAAAAAATTCAAAAACACATGGTGGAGAAAGGAAAGCCTTTTCAATAAATAGTGTTGGCAAAACTGAAAGGTCACTTGCAAAAGAATGAAACTAGAATATTGTCTATCACCACACACCAAAATTAACTCAAAATGGATTAAGGACCTGAATGTAAGACCGGAATCAATAAAATGCATAGAGAAAACATAGGGATTAAACTCAAGGACCTTGGACTTAAAGAGGATTTTATGAATTTGACCTCAAAGGCAAGGGAAGTAAAAGCAAAAATAAACAAATAGGACTATATCAAACTAAAAAGCTTCTGCTCAGCAAAAGAAATCATAAACAAAGTAAAGAGACAACCATCCAAATGGGAAAATATATTTGCAAGCAACGCCTTCAATAAGGGCCTAATATCCAAAATATACAAAGAACTCATATGACTCAATAACAACAACAAATAAAACAAACGATCCAATCAAAAAATGGGCAGAAGACCTGAACAGACACTTCTCCCTAGAGGACATACAAATGGCCAACGAATATATGAAAAGATGCTCAACTTCGCTAGCTATTAGGGAAATGCAAATCAAAACCACAATGAGATACCATCTCACACCTGTTAGAATAGCTATAATCAACAGGACAAGTAATAACAAATGCTAGAGAGGATGTGGAGAAATAGGAACCCTCATACACTGCTGGTACCAATTTGCAGTCTCACTAGTATGGAGGTTCCTTAAAAACACTATGGAGGTTCCTTAAAAAACTAAGAATGGATCTACCATATGATCCAGCAATCCCTCTACTGGGTATTTACCCCAAAGACTTGAAAACCCATATCCGAAAAGTGAACTCCAGTGTCACTCCAGCAGCATGGGTGGGGCAATAATGCAGAAGTACAATTAGCATGCAGCAAAGAATCACAGATCAGTGAGATTTAGAAAAAGATTATCATGCTAAGCGAAATGAGCAAGACAGGAAAAGTTGAAAATCATATGATATCATGTGACTTATATGTAGGATATAAACCTAAAAGCAACAAACGTACAGGACAAACAAACAGAGACTCATGGTCATGGTCAATAGACTAGTGGTTACCAGAGGGTAGGGGGTGGGAGAGGAGAGAGGAGGTAGACGGGGTAAAGGGGGTCAAATATAGGGTGGTAGAGGGAGGGTGAAGTAGGTAAAGGGGATCAAATATATGGTAACTGTAGGAAACTGGACTTTGGGTGGTAAACACACAATATACAGATGTCAAATTATAATATACACCTGAAAATTATATAATTGTATCAGCCAATGTTACCTCAATAAACTTAATAAAAAAAGTTCCTAAGTGATTCTGATCTGAGCCAGGTTTAGGAACAGCTGATCCCGAAATCTTGGTGTACTATGTGTGTCTGTGTGTGTATCATTCTCTAACTTAGAATGCTGATTTTTCATATTGTGCCATCAAAATAGAATTGCAATATAATCTATATACCAGGAAAAATGTTCTCCTCAAACTTGGAAAGTTTTAGCCCTAAAGGTAAGGTAGAGCCTAAGACTGGCAGGATAAAGTGTGAGAGGATGCTTATAGGTTAAATTCTGAATGAATTCAGTTACAAAGTCACTTCTTTTTTCTTTGAAAAATCTCTATTTGTTTCATATCAAATATTAACATTGGAATCACAAAGTAGCAGGGAATCTAGTTATCTTTTGTGACCTCAACTGCCAGTATCCTGCTCACAGTTGTTGCTCAATAAGCCGATTGACTCCATTCCTCAATGACTGGTTACACTGGTTGCTGGGGCCTCTGTCTGGTGAAGCCTATTTACCTCATGATAGGTTCAGAAGTCACGTGTGCACGGTAGAACAGAGAATACCAATAGGGCAAAAGGGCATAACGTTCTCTGATGGCTTGTCTGATGAGCCGGGTGTTTTCCTCTCCAAAAAGCCAGGGTTCCCGTCGCTTGGTGTTCATGGTGGCATGGCTACGAAAGAAGGGCTGGTAGGCTCCGGCCTGGTACCAACGCACAAGCAGCTCTGCCTCTGGATTCCCGATGAAGCCACCTACATCAGCTGATTAGTTAAAGAAAGGCTTTGTGAGGCGACCAGGCTTGTTACAAATGATGTACACAGGTAAAATAAGGCCTAGAAGACTGACAGGAGAAAGATGCTGTATGTGTACTCAAAATGATCATGGCCTCAAATTAGGGAGCACATAGTAAAAAACTCAGCCTGTTTGGGGATCTGACAATACTTTCTGAATATTCCATTTTTGTCAAAAGGCCAGAGGCTTTACTGCAAGATCAACATTCAGGTATGTTCCTGAACCCAGAAATTGCAAAATGTCTGCCTGATTCAGTAAGCCTGTGTTAAGGGGTGTGGTGGGGTGGGGTGGGGGTGGAGAGTTGGCAACTGATTTCCTTTGAAAGCAACAGCTAAAGCAAGATCAAAATTATAGAAATAACTAAAGAGAAACAGATAATCAGAATTAGAGGTCTAAGTAGAATTTCATGTTTGGACCTTAAACAGGATACATATTCCTTGCATTTATTGTATGAGACCAGTGTCATAATAATACATCTATTGAAAAAGTGATATGAAGTAGCTTCTATTCCTACAGAAAACAAGCAGCTGGAACTGTACAGCCATGCTGAACACTTTCCATACTGAGATCTCTCATCTGTAGAGAATTATTAGGATTCAAGGAAGGCAGTGCAGTAGAGAATCTTATTTTAACTAAATTTATCTTTCTCAAGAGATAAATATATATTTTTAAACAGTGGAATATGGCACAGAATTTTAAACCTGCTGAATATACAGGATTTCTGTAGGGCTGATTTCTGATTTGCTAAATTCTCTAGTTCACTCCATTTTTCTTTCAAGAAGAAAAGTTATGTTTCAGGAAGAGAAAGTTACCAAGAGCCTTTAAGGAGGAAGTGATCAGAGAATAAGGGAAAGCAGCACTCTGGCTCTCTTTCTGATTTTATTTTATGTCCTCCATTCAGACAAGATACAAACAGCTCTGAAGCTATCCTTTCACTTTTCCCTGTAATCCACTCCCCTTCGCTTTCCTCATTTTCTCTTTCCCACGTTTATCCCTGCCCAAAAGAGCCAATGAAAAGATATTTGTGACCAGCTTTGACAAAAGCACCCTTGCTTTTCATTTTCTCTTACTTCAAGCCTGAGGATATTATCTTACCTCCACAAAAAGAGATCCCAGTAATGCTGAGAGTGAGTAACATAGGGATAGAAATTTTCAGGTAACTCCATTCTGCTATGTTGTCGCCTGTCCACACAGCACCTGTGGTCACCAGTATCAAAGTATTAAAAAAAACAACAACAAAAAAAACCAGCCATGCACTCAATTTCATATTTAGATTCCTTATTTATAATAGACAAATTAACATAAAGGAAAACATTTTTCTTTTTTAAAAATAATTTCTCATTTCAATTACAGTTGACATACAATATTATATTAGTTTTAGGCATACAACATAGTGATTAGATATTTATATAACTTATGAAGTGATCATCCTGATAAATCTTATACTCATTTGACACCACACATAGTTATTACAATATTACTGACTATATTCCCTATGCTATACTTTACATCCCCATGACTATTTTGTTACTACCAGTTTTTATTTCTTAACCCCTTCCCCTTTTTCACCTATCCCCCAACCCCTCTCCCATCTAGCAACTGTCAAAATGTTCTCCGTATCTATGAGATTATTCGTTTTATTTATTTTGTTTTTTAGATTCCACATATAAGTGAAATCATATGGTATTTGTCTTCCTCTGTCTTACTTCACTTAGTACAATACCCTGTAGGTACATCCATGTTGTTGCAGATGGCAAGATTTCATTCTTTTTTATGGCTGAGTAATATTCCATTGTACACATGTACCCCTTTTCTTTATCTATTCATCTATTGATGGTCACTTAGATTGCTTCCATATCTTGGCTATTGTAAATAATGCTGCAATGTTCATATGGATGCATATGTATTTTTGAATTTGTGTTTGGGATTTCTTCAGATAAATACCCAGAGTGAGATTACTGGGTCCTTCTTTGTCTCGTTATAACCTTTGTTTTAAAGTCCATTTTGTCTGGTATAAGTATTGCTATCCCAGCTTTTTTGTTTCCATTTTCATGAAATATTTTTTTCCATCCCTTTACTTTCAGTCCGTGTATGTCTTTTGTCAGCAGCATATGTAAGGGTCTTGTTTTCTTATCCATTCAGCCACCCTATATTTTTTTGATTGGAGCATTTAACCCACTTACACTTAAAGAAATTTTTTTAAATAAAGTAATTGTTGATAGATATGTAGTTATTGCCATTTTATTATTCATATTTTTATCTTTTTTTCTCTTTCTTCTTAAAGAAATCCCTTTAACGTTTCTTATAATAACTGGTTTGGTGGTGATGAACTCCTTTAGCTTTTTCTTGTCTGGGAAGGAAAATATTTCTTTCTTACCTTAAAACATACAAATTCTGGTCTTCCTCAATGAAAATATATTAATTTTCTAATATGAAAAACTTATTAAAATCTACAAAACCTTTTGTGAAAATATTCTGAAATTGAACTTATTTTTGAGTATAACTCAAGTATGATTTTAGGAGAAACGTTAAAAAAAATCAACTTTACTGATTACAATTTACATACAATAGATGTACCTATTTTAAATGAAGAGTTTAATGAGTTTTAAAAAATGTGTATACCATGTAACCACCATCATAAGCAGGGTATAAAACATTTTCATAACTACAGAAGTTTACTTGGGCTCTTTTGGGGTCATAAACCTCCCTCCACCCACTTTACCCAACCATTGATTTGATTTCGATGACTATAAATTCATCTTTTCTAGATTTTCATATAAATGGAAACAAAATGTATACTCGTGTTCTAGTTTTTTTCACTCAGCATTATACTGTAGATTTCTCCTGTTCATTTGCTGAGTAGTACTCCGTAGTAAGGACATATCACAAGTTGTTTATCCATTCACCTATGGACATTTGGATTCTTTCCAAATTTTGGCTATTATGGATAAAGCTGCTATAAATATCTGTGTACATTCTCTTTGTGTGATATATGTTTTCATTTATCTTTGGTAAATACCTGGCAGTGGAATTGCTAGGTCTATGTTCCGTGTGTGTTGAACACTTTAAGAAAATTCCAAACTACAACTTTTGTCAACACTTGATAGTGTCATTTTTTTTTAATTCTAGTCACTCTAATGGGTGTGTAGTGGCTTCTCCCGTGGTTTTAATTTATATTTCCCTAATAACTGGTGATTACTGAGCATCTTTTCAATGCTTAATGTGTTTATTGATCATTCACATGTCTTCTTTCATGAACTATTTAAATAATTTGCTTATTTTTTAAAGTAGAATGTCTTTATTATTTAATTGTAAAAGTGTATATTCTAGATACAAGTCCTTTGACAGATAAATATGTATACTGCAAATATTTTCTTTCAGTCTGTGGCTTGACTTTTCATTTTCTTAACAATATCTTTGAAAAGGTAGACATTTCTAATTTTGGTGAAGTTCAATTTATCATTTTTTTTCTTTTATGGTCATGCTTTTTGTTTTCTATCCATGAAATCTGCCTATCATAAAGTCACAAAGATTTTCTCCTATGTTTTCTTCTAGAAGTTTTTTGTTCGTTTTAGCTTTTATAATTTAGTTACAATTTTGAGTTAGTTTTTGTGTATGGTATGAGATAAGGGTTGAGGTTCTTTTTTTTTTTCCCCTCTCACATGATATCCAATTGTTCCAGCACCTTTTATTGAAAAAACTCTTTTCTCCATTGAAGTGCCTTGGCAACTATGTTGCAAATTAACTGATCACATATGTGCTGGAGTCTTTCTGGATTCTCTTTTCTATTCCATTGAGCTAATGAGTAGTCTCCCTTGCCCACGAATAACCCCTCTATAATTTGAAAAGAGTGGTACAGACCATACAGGGGAGGCATGATAACAACAGCAATAACAAGTTAACATTGATCAAGTCTTTACTGAGCTACTTTGCCTGTATTATCCCACTTTATCATTACAACAACTCTACCAGGTAAACACTATTATTAACTCCATTTTACAGGTGAGGGAAATATGACAAACAGTGGATATCATAATCTACCCAGAGTTACAGAGTTACTAAGTGGTAGAGGCAGGATTTGAGTCCAGGCAGTCTGACTCTAAAGCCAGTGCTCTTATTTACTGTATAGTTGATAAAAGTTTGTGAAGATAAGAATATATACCACTAAAAAAATATATAAAAGGAAAAAAATCTTATTAAATCTGGATTACTCCTGAAGCATTTTTGTCTATTTGCTATCGAAATAGTTTTGATAGCTATTTTTGTTTTAATCTTCCATAGAAATTTTAGGCTGTCCTATGGCTAGCAAAGAAGAATATTTTCAAGGGGCTGTTCTTTTTAAAAAGTACTCTAATAATTTCTCCTTGACTTTGAGATATGTATATATCTGCATAAAGATTTTTAAATCCAAATGATGACATTCTTATCAAGAAAGTTCATGTAAACATGCAAATGTTTTTCATGTCTCATATGTTTGTTTCATCAAAAGCTCTCTCTGGCTATTGGTTTCAGCATGAGACTTAACACAATAGTGTTCTCTGTAATGCCTCACTTGCTACTCTGTGGGGCAAGGCTGATAGCTTCACACAGAACACAGAAGACTAGGCAGTGGGCCAATATCTAAGAGATCAAAGATAACTCAGTATGCATATGTTCTGTTATCTTAACTGCTGTTTATAAATGTTTTCATTAAAACTACTTTTTTTTTTAGTGATTAAAAATGATGCTCGTAGAAAATTTGAAAAATAGATAGGTAAAAAGAAGAAAATTAAAATTACTCATAATCACCAAGATACTATACTTATTGGTTTAGATTACTACATCCATACACACACATTTTAACAAAATAGGGATAATACCTAAACATTTAGGCATTCTTTTTTTTTTATCATGATGTCACAAACATTTTTCATGCAATTAAGGCTACTATTTTAAATAGGTTTATGATAGTCTATCATATAAATATACCATACCTTTATAACTACTCCCTATTGTTACATATTTGGATTTTTCTTTTTTGTTTCAAGAACTAATGGTGTGGTAAGAATTTCTGTATATGAATCTTTGCCTGAGATGATAATATTTTGGCCTTTTTTTGAGTATCACAGGGGCTGGTTTTCAGCGGTAGAATAGGAGGCCTAGTAATGTCTATGGTAGAGTTAAGGCTGGATTCCTCAAACTAGGACCTATGCAACAAGTTATTTATGCAAGGCCAGGGGACTTAAAATAGCCTTCCTGCTACAGGTTAAGTTGAACTAGATCTGCATTAGCTAGTAAACTGGATCCAGTTATAGATGACCCTGGCCTTAAGCAACAGCCAGGTCTATTTTAAGCCATATTGCTAAGTGAAACAGGTGGTTGAGGGAATGTGTTAGAAGTATATTTTCCCTGGTTTTGATAAATCACAGAGATAGGATCAGAGATGATCATCCCAGCAGAATGAGCTATTCTGAAGTCATTCACCCAAAAACTAAGTGGCCATTTCTTCAGTGGGAAACAAGTAACTAAACTTTATTAAAATTGGTTTATTCTGCTCATAGGACAAAATGCATACTTCAGGGCACATCACTCTACAATCTAATGGCTACTGAAAATAAAGGCATTAGTAGCTCTATATACCGTAAATGGTCAAAAAGACAAGTTGTTAAATTGTGTTTTTAAGTCTGATCATATGAACCATTCCTTACCGTATTTTTGTGATCCAGCAAAGAAAGAACGTGTAAGAACAAAGGGTCTCTCTTTTCCCTTAGATCGCTGTATCAGTCCTTCTGCTGTAGCCATTTGCTACAAAATTAAAGTAGAAGAGTTAATAAACAAAAAATAAATAAATAAATAAATAAAAGCATAAGTTTCAAACAGGTGATTGGATTAGGGCATTGTGTAGATAACCCCAATAAACTCCTTAATATACAAAAAGTAAATAGTAGGTGGGAATGTGAAATGGAAAATATTAAAATAAATCCATTAAAAAATGTTTATGATATAATGAAACTACCCTAAGTTCTCCTATTAAACAAATGGAAAATTTCCCTTGATTAAATTGGCAATGAAATAATAGTAAATAATAAGCTAGCATTTATTTGGTACTTACTATTGGAAGGCATTTTATAAGATTTTCTCATGTCATCTACACAATAACCTCTGGAATAGTTTTCATTGATGAAAATACTGAGATTTAGAGAGGTTAACTGAATGGCCTTGACTGACATAAGACAATTCTCTAAATTAGTTTGCAATTATATCAAGAAGCTATTAGAGAAGTAAACATAGTCTACCTGAAAACGGTGCTATATCTAGCCAGCAGCTCCCACTGGAAAATATCAGTTGGTGGGAGGGTCATAAAAACAGTTACATTAAGAAAACAACAAAGAACCCTGGGTATAAATTAGGAAACATGACTGCCAAGTCTTCTGGATGTGACTGGCATCCACTTTCTATTGAGAAGGCTAAGTACTTATGGAGGGATTTCTATGTTTAAAAAGTATACTTATTGAAATCGTGTACATATGTTCTAAATCTTACTCCCTGGTATAAATGTAAGACTTGATGTATTTAGACATTTGTGAAATTTCAAAACATTTGTTTTAATTGCCTTTGCTTATGTATTTATGTACTTCCTACTTCAAAGAAAGTTTTGAGGTAGATCCAATGTTATTTACTAATGGCTCCTGTCAAGGAAGATGTTTCTATGTTCTCATTAATCTCACAATAGCTGTAAATTCATCAAGTTCATTATAGAAGGCAAAGATGCAAATGGGAAAATAATAAGTCTTATATTAGATACAATCTTATAAGACTCATTGCAGTTGTCAGAAAAGACATACAAAGAGAAATGAACAGTATGATATGGCTGTTACAAAAGAAATGACTTTCAACCCAGCCCAAAAGGCAGGGCACATGCATCCAGTTGGCTTCTTTTTGAATGTCTTACCTGATAAAAACCATAGATATTGTGAAGTTCTCTGTGCTCCCAGTTGCCATGATGAATAGCATTCTTATGCATGGTTAGCTCTGGCCCTCTAAAGACAGAGGGCTCATTCATGTCATTCCATATGTAGAGGATGTCAGTAGATCCCTACAAAGTAAATCTTGGTCAAGATAATACTCCTACAGTGATGATGTTAATATGATAGCTGCCCCTATTCCTCTTTCCTACTCCATTTAATGTATTATTTATTATGTTTATTTTCTTTGCTCTGTCCTCTGCTAGAATAAAAAGCTCCACTGGGCAGGGGTTTTTGTCTGTTTTGTTTACTGATAAATCTCAAACACTTAGAATAGTACCTGAACTGCAGAAGGTTCTTGGTAAGTATTTGTTGATGAATGAAAGAATACTGTGCCATATTGTCTGTGACATACACATTGCCCAGCAAGTCCACTTCAAGTTCTACCTGGAAAAACCCCGCAGGAAAGGTTGTGAATGTTCACAATTAGGCTCTATATCATCTGCTACAACTCTTAACTGAAGGAAGGGCAATTATAGTTGTACATGACAAAGTTCTGCCTTCCTTCTAATACTGTGAGATTTGACAGCTAAGATACCTGTTTGTTAGCATGATCTACAGTTTGTGTTCTACATAGAACTATTCAATTTACAGTGGGAAGGGGTAGTTAACATGGTATTACAATCCCTTTATAGAACCCCTGATCTCTCAGCATTTGACTCAATGGCTACAATGACAGGCAGTCCCTCAGGCAGCTCATTCTGAAAGTCCTGTTCCTGGTAACATCCTCTCATAGAGCCTAGCTTGCCTTTGGGATACCACAAAATACCTCTGCTGCCTCACCCACACAATAATATTTTAAATACCTGGAGGTATTTATTGTTTTCTTCTGACTTTTTACCTCCAATGATTTCTAAACGTGTACTTCTATGAACAAGGCTACATGGTTTTCAAATAGCTGACTATTCATCTTTAGCACCCTCTAAGGCTAGGTTGGCAAACTTTTTCTGGAAAGGGCCAGATTTTCAACACTGCAGGCCATAAGGCCTCTTTTTCAGTAACTTGACTCTGCTATGGTAGTATGAAAGCAGCCATAGACACTAGGAACATGAAAGCATTTGGCTCAAGCATTGTTCATTCCTGTTCTAAGCTGTTTTCTGTGTTCTAATGTATAATGCTCAGAAACTAGAGTTTAGTGATTAAGAGCCAGGCTTGGGAGACAAACAGACCGGAGTTCAAATCTTGGTTCTGCCACTTACTAGGTGGGGAAACTTAGCAAGTTTTTAAACTTGTTCATGCCTAAGTGGCCCCATCTGTGGGATTAGAGTTAATTGTAGTTTCAACTTCAAAGGGTTATTGTGAAGATAAATGCACACTACTTGGCATATAGCAAATACAATTTATATTAGCCATCTTTATCATCATCACCATAATGGTTGAAAATAGTTCTCTAGATGTGGCCTCTCCAGTTTTCTCTGTGGTTCTGATAATATTTTAAGAATCGATTTATTATTATGCCTTACTTTTAATGACATGTTATACTTTGCAAGATATTTTCACATATATCATAATCATCTTTAAACAATGCTATTTGATACAAAAATTTATTCAGTGATTTGAAAATATAATATATTTCTATTATTAAGTACTTTGATATATTATGGAGGTCAAAATCACAGCTTTTGTGCATTTAATAATACATATGGCACCTCTCTCAGCATCACCAAAGTCTGTAAAGGCCATCCTTGCCTTTTCATATAAGCATTATTTATCAAAGGCTACTCAGTGAAGCAGAGTTCTACTTAATCACTTTTTTTTCCTTCTTTCATCATTGCAAGTAACTAGGAAAGAGCAAATGAATAAAAACAAACCTCATAAACAGAGAAAGCAAAAAGACCTGAATACCACTCTCTGACCTTCGGATTGGTGAAATCCAGGTAGGAAGAGAGACCTGTAGAGGCAGAAGAGTAGACAGCCTGTTAGGAACAGTGGTTCTCATGGTAAGATGTGTTATAAGGAAGAATATATGAAAACTGGGTAATCAATAGATACCTTACATTAAATGTAAAAGGTAGCTGATACCGAGGCACGGTCTAGCAAGAAGCAAATGAAAGTAGTGCTGGCCTCCAGGGACAATCACTAGATCTTTCAACTCCAGAGGCGCAGGGGAATGCCAATTAACAATATCAAGATGGAGCCTGTCCCTCACTAAGATTACCCAAATAAGGATGGCAAGTATCCTGGAGTGACCTCTCTGTTCTTAAAGAGAACAGAGATGTGTAAGTGGTAAAGGGAGGAAAAAATACATGGGGTTTCTCTACAGTGCAGGGATTTGTGATAGAGTGCTATGACAGAGTGATTTCCTTTTGTCCTGGAGGAGTCTCTACCAAAGCTCTAAACAAATAATTTCTGAGATGAAGAATTCAGAATTGCCAGAGGTACCTGAGGTCACTCATGAAAGGCTGGGAAGTCAAAAACTATGGACTAACAGGGCACAGAAGAATCACAGATAGAGAAGCTACAGAATCCTTTTCCTTTCTCCTCCTCTCCTTTTCTCATTCCCAGGCTTTTCATTTTTATTTGCTTAGAGAAATAGCATGCCACTGAGGGTTGCTGGTTTAGTTTTCATTCACTCATTGATAAATATATATAAAGTACACTGTACCAGGTGTTATGAAAGATATAAAAGAAGGCAATACCATCTTTTCCTTAAAGGTGCTTAAAATATAGCAGGAGACATCTATAAGGAAGAAGAATGATGGCCATGAAACCTTCATTAATTTGGACTGAACAAGGGTAATGTAAGTGTATAAAGTAATATCTTACCTGGCCAGCATACCCCTTCAAAGTCTCCTCCTTCATGATTTTTCACAAAGAAGCCCTGTTCTTTGGCCTTAGCATACACTGAGTAGTCAGGATCAATTTTGATGTGGGGGTCACTGATGACCACAAGCTGTCAGGACATAAAGGTTTGAAGATCTCATCAGTTTTATATGAGCTATATGTTCATTTATATGTTTTCATCATAGTTCAGGGGTTCAAATTTTACTCAGAAACAACTATTACTAGTATTGAAATATTTCAGATACCAGTAAAACCCTGTAACCTTTTTGATGTCAAAACCATGCCAATACTCCTTTGTAATTATTGCTACTCGACCAATATATGTTTTTTAAAGATAGCATTTTTTAACTTTCTATCTGTTCATGGTGCTGGGTGCTATACATAAAGGGTTAAGTAGGCAAGGTCCCTGCTTCCTAGATATCTAGAGGGTAAGAAAGACATCTAGAGGCTAAGATAACACTGACAAAAGCAAACATTAAAGAAAAGAGGAATCTAGCATATTAAAAACAAATAAAAAAACCCAAATCCAATGGTACAGGCATATGAGGGGGGAGGTTTGAGAAAAGCTGTTATCACAGCTCCCTGTGGGCAGGGGATCCAGCACATCGTTACAGGGTGGCCACAACAAATGGGCCTGAATGCCAGGCCCCTTCATTCTGATGGGGACCTAGACAACTAAGGCAGGGGTGGATGGTGTAACTGCCTTTGCATTGTAGCTATTCTGTTATCACAGTTTCAATTACATTTGAAGGTACTATTTTTTGTGGCCGTTTTCTTTTTTTTAATCAGAAGTTCTCTATTAATGTGCCAAGCAAGCTTTAAAAATTAAAAAGTGTTTTGTAATTAAAAGGTTCTGCAGTATTGGCTTATTTTACCTTACGTTTTTTGTTCTGGAGCAGCTCTTGCATCCTTTTGGGGTTTGGGAATCTTTTCTTGTCCCAGGTGAAGTACCTTTTGCCCTCAGTGTGCTCTATGTCCAGCCATATGACGTCGTAAGGAATGTCATGTTTGTCAAATCCTGCATCCACTGCTTTTACATCGTGCTCATCTTCATAGTTCCAGCGGCACTGATGATACCCCAAGGAGAAGAGAGGGGGCATGGCTTGTGTGCCTAAAAGAGGAAGATGACAATTGAGCAGACAACTACCACAATGATAATTCTACATTTGACAAACATTTTCTAAATGCTTACAGGGTCCAATCACTAAGCTTGTACTTAGAATATCAAGGAGAAGAAAGCATAGTCCCTACCTTCAAGAAAGTGACATTTGGCTGATGAGGGAGGCATGTAAATAAACTTCTCTGCTTGGAGGTGTAAGTGCTGTGTTAAAGGTATCGGTCTAGTGCTATGGAAATACAGAGGGATTAATAAATTCAGCCTTCAGTGAAGTATCCACAGGTTTCAAAGAGGTGGTAACTCTTGGTTTGGACCTTGAAGAATAAGTAGGAATATACCAGATAAAGAGAATGGATAGAGCTTTCAAGCACATTCAAGAAAAAATACAGAGAAGTACATAATAAGCTTAGGGAAAAATAAATATTCCAAGGTGGTTACATTGTGAGAGACCAGTAGAAGATGAAACTGGAGAAGGCTAGTTTGTAAAGGGCCTTGTAGTTCAGGCTAGGAATTCTAAATCATCTCTTATGGGAAGTTATTAGAAGTTTAACCTTAACAGACCTATGCTTTAGAAAAATTAGTTAGAAAGCAATGTTGAGGCTGACTTGAAGGGAGAGACTGAAGGCAGGAAGAACTGTCAGGAAATTATCAAAACATTTATTGATAACATGGAGAACTTCTGGTCAATCACTAGCATCATCTTTCCCTTCCTGAAGTCTCACTAAAACCAGAGTAAAGAAAGAATAAAAGCAATCAGAACAAAGGGAATGGGAAAGGGATAATCTCAATAACATTTTGGAAGGTGGCAGGCAGGGGAGAGCTGGTACCTGCTCAGCAAAGCCAGGAAAGCTCTCACCAGAGTGCTTGTGAGGCGGATAGGATGAGAAGAGCTCATTCCCACTCTCACGACACCAGCAGACAGGTAAATTCCACCTACCACCCCAAATCTGCTGTGAGACTCATCAGGCACATAAAGCTTCCAGGCAGAGCCTTATTCTTAAATACCCATGGATAGCTAAGGATCATCCAACATTTGAATAAAGCCTCCAGAATTAGAGGGACCCACATAAATAGAATAAAAAGATCTCTGAGAAAACGGACAAGGAACCAAAGTATCAAAACATCAGTATCTCCAGGGAGATGAAAAAAGACATACTCATAAAATAAGACTAGGATAGCATAAAACAAGCATAAGAGATTAGAAATGAGAAACAATTAGAGGAGAAGAGTGTTTAGAAATTAGAAATGTGATAGCATAAGTGGAAGGCCTGGAAACAAACTGAGAAAAATTGCTCAGAAAATAGACAAAAAAGGAAGGGAAATTATAAAATCTGGAGAGCAGAAAGAGATAAAAGAAGGGAAGAAATGATCAAAGGAACAAGAAAGACTGTTTTTTAGAACTGAAGAACACAATTCTCAAGATTGAGAGTCCACATCTAATACGCGGCTCACTGGTTCTAACAAAAATGTCTATATCAAGGCATTTGGTTATAAAATTTCAGAATATTAGGAATTTTAGAATATTAGAGATAAAGAGAAGATATTTCAGAGAGAAAAGATAGATCATATACAAAGGAACAGAATTCAAAGTGATTTTGGAGCAAGAAGACGATAGAGAAATGCCTTCAAATTCTGAGAGAAATAATTTTCAATTTAGTTAGCCAAATTATCGATAAAGGGTGAAGGTAGAAAAAAAGATGTTTTCATACCCATAAAGATACAAAAAGCGTACCTCTAATATATACTTTCATAGGAAACTACCAGAAGATGTTTCAAATAACAAATAAAACAAGAAGGCAATAATCCACAAAAAAAGAAAAACATGGAATCTAGAGAGGAGGGATCTCATACTAGAAATAGCAGACATTAAATCCTAGGATGACAGTAAGTGAAAGACCTAGGATGACAGCTGTGGAGAGAGTCTTGACGGGAGCAAGATCTGGGATGGAAGTCTCCAGGGAAGAAAATGGAATGGACAGTGTCCGACACCTTTGAGCATTTGAAAAATATAAACATTGAATATTGATTTAACCAAAACATATTGGGAGGGAAAAGAAGGAAAGATATTATTGAGTTAAATCCTCATCAGGAGTCAACAGATAATCTGTAAACTTATAAATTGAATTTCTTTGAACATGGTAGCAGATCCAGTGGTTTAGACGTACTTTCTCGTAAACCAGGCTTACTCTCTGTAATAACAATGTTGAAAGGGCCTGAAGGTGGCCTTGACAGTACTTATTTTTCTATATGGGTGTCTTCCCATATCCACAAATCCTTTGTTGTTCCTCCAATCAAAATTAGAATCAAATTCCTCTTCCCTTAAACATGGGCTAGACTCAGGGAGTTTAACAACAGAATGAGCAGAAGGGCTGCTATAGTACTTTTTTTCTTAACAGCTTTATTGAGATGTAACTCACATACCATACAATTTACTCAAAAGTGTACAAGTCAATGTTTTTGGTATATTACATTACCATTTTTTAAACTGTGGTAAAATATATAACATAAAATGTTCCATTTTAACCATTTCTGTGTGTAATTCAGTGGCATTAATTACATTCACAATGTAATACAATTATCACCACTAGCTATTTCCAAAACTTATATCACCCCAAAAAGAAACTCTGTAGCCATTAAGTAATAACTTTCCATTACCCATCTCACTCTCCAGCCTCTGGTATCTGCTAATCTACTTTGTCTCTTTGAATTTGCCTATTGTGGCTAGTATCATATAGTTGTCCTTTTGTGTCTGGTTTATTTCATTTTGCATAATTCTTTCAAGGTTCATCCTTGTTACAGCACATATCAGAACTTCATTCCTTTTTATGGCTGAATAATATTTCACTTTATGTATATATATTTTGTTTATCCATTCATCTTCAATGGGTACTTAGGTTGTTTCCACCTTTGGCTACTGTGAAAAATGCTCCAATGATCATTGGCATACAAGTATATGTTTGAGTTCTTGCTTTCAGTACCTTTGGGTATATAACTAGGAGTGAAATTGCTGGGTATATTAGTCAGGGTTCTGCAAAGAAACAGAACCAATAGGATGTGAATGATTGACTGATTTTAAGGAACTGATTTATGTGATTGTAGTAGCTGGCAACTCTGAATTTTGCAGGGTAGACTGATAGGCTGGAGACCCAAAGAGCTGAAGCCACAATTTGGAGGCAGTCTGGAAACAGATTTCTTTTTCTTTAGGGTACCTCAGTCCTTTTCTCTTAAAGCTTTCTTTCAACTGATTGGATGAAGCCCACACACATTAAAGAGAGTAATCTGTTTTACTCAAACTGATTTAACTGTTAATCTTCTCTAAAGAATACTTTCACAGTGACAGTGTTTAACCAAATATCTGGTGCCATATAAAATAAATCCTCACACTGGATCATATGGTAATTCTGTTTAGCTTTTTAAGGAACTGCCAAACTGTTTTCACAGCAGCTGAACTATTTTACATTCCTCCAGCAATGCATGAGGTTCCAATTCCTCCACATCCTTATCAACACAGTATTTTCCACTTTTTTGATTTAGCCATCTTAGAGGATAGGAAGTGGTATCTCACTGTTGTTTTAATTTTCATTTTTTCCTAATGACTAATGATGTTGAGCATTTTTTCATGTGCTTCTTAATTCATTTCTATCCCTTCTTTGGAGAAGTGATAAGCGCATAAAAAGATGCTCAACATCTTTAATCATTAGGGAAAATGAAAATTAAAACCACAATGAGGTACCACTTCCTACCCTCTATATATTCCTTTGACCATTTTAGAATTGGATATTTAGCTGTTGAGCTGTAAGAGTTTTTTTTAATATATATTCTGCAAACTAGACTCTTATCAAATACATGATTTGCAAATATTTTGATTCTGTAGGTTGCCTTTTCACTTTCTTGAAAATGTTCTTTGATACACAAAATATTTTAATATTAATGAAGTCCAACTTATCTAATTTTTTCTTTTGTTGTTCATATGATTTTGGTGTCATATCGAAGAAACTGTTGCCAAATCCAAGGTCATAAAGATTTACCCATTTTAAGAATTTTTAGCTCTTATATTTGTCAATCCACTTTGAGTTAATTTTTTGTATATGATGTGAGGTAGGGTTCCAACTTCATTCTTTTAGATGTAGATATCCAGTTGTCTCAGTATCATATGTTTAAGACACCATTCTTTCCCCATTGAATGGTCTTGAATCTTTGTTGAAAATCAATTGCCAGAGATGTATGGATTTATTTCTAGCCTTTGAATTCTATTCCTCTGGTCTATATGTCAATCCTTATGCCAGTAGCACACTATTTGGATTATTTTAACTTCGTAGTAAGTTTTGAAATTAGGAAGTATGAGTCCTTCAACTCTGTTTTTCTTTTGGGGGGGAGTGAAATTCAGAATTATTTGACTATTCAGGGCCCTTTTCAATTCCATACGACTTTGAAGATCAGTTTTCCATTCTTCAAAAATGGCCATTGGAATTTTGGTAGAGATTTCAGTGAATCTGCAGATTTCTTTCAAGAGTACTGCCATCTTAACAATATTAAGTCTTCTAATCCATGAATATGAGATGTCTTTCCATATTTTTTTAGGCCTTAATTTCTTTCAGAAAGATTCTGTAGTTTTCAGTGTACAGTCTTTCATCTCCTTGGTTAAATTTAGTCATAAGTATCTTATTCTTTTGGATGTTATTGTAAATAAAATTATTTTCTCAATTTCTTTTCTAGATTGTTCATTGCTGGTATATAAAACATGACTGATTTTGTGTCTTGATCATGTATCCTGCAACTTTGGTAAATTTATTAGTTCTAGCAGGTATCTTATGGATTCTTTAGGATTTTCTAACATACAAGATCACAGCATTTGCAAATAGTATCCTTTCCAATTTGGATACTTTTTATTTATTTATTTTGTCTAGTTGCTCTGGTTGGAACTTGAAGTACCATGTTCAATAGCAGAGGTGAAAATGGGCAGCTATGTTTTGTTTCTGATCTTAGGGGCAAGCTTGCGGTCTTTTACCATTGAGTATAATCTTAGCTGTGGATTTTTCATAGATGTCGTTTATCATGTTGAGGAAGTTTCCTTCTATTCCTAGTCTTCTGAGTGTTTTTATAATGAAACAGTGTTTGCTTTTGTCAAATGCTTTTTCTGTACCAATTGAGATGATCTTTTATGTCTTTTCAAGATAAAATGATTTAGTACTAAAGCCAGTGGTATATTTTAATGTGGAAGAAAACACAGAAAAGGTTGGGATACTGGTCATCTGAGATTAAGGTAGAGAAAATCCAGGGTTTAAAGGCAGGCAGATGATGAGTATTAAAGATGAGAGAATTGAGAAATCTAGCCCTAGTGCAACATTTAACCAAGCCGAATGGAATAAGGATGGGAGGAGAAATGCTTGCATCTTAAAAAGCTTGCATCTTAAAGATTTATAAGTTGTTTATAAGTCTACATGGCATACAACAAAAATTAACTTACAGTGATGATACATGGGATACAGGAAATGCAATGGAACAAGAAACTGGCACTTCCACATGCAAGTACCTGTAAGGGACGAGTACTGCTTGAAGACGTCAGAAGGTGTAGGCCCTGTCAGCAAGAAAACATCAATGATTCCACTCTCTGACATCCAGTGAACGTTAGTTCGAGATGTGACCTTTTGTTTAGCAGCAACCGTGCCCATCTGGGTCAGTGTATACTAGAAAAGGAATGGAATGAAGGTCTGAAAAACTTCCCTCTAACCTACAATGTCTAACTATATGTAAGTAACGGTCTGTTTGTTTCGTACATACGGTTAACTTTCTCTGATTATACTGCAAAGTCTGGTGGCAGAGAACTGCCACAGCAAAGCCCAGAGTTATGACTATATTTCACTGGTTTTGTTTCTTCTCTAAGTATGACAAGCAGCCATGATCCATAGCTCACCTTTACTGCAGGCTCTGTATTGATCTCCACTAGTGTTTCTGAAGAATTCAGCCAAAAAATGCCTAAAGTCCTGCCCAGTTTGTGGGCCAAGAGATAAGGAACTGAACCATAAATGCCCATTTTGTCATTTATTTTATATCCGTAGACATCCAAGTTATAAAGACGGTAAGCTTCTCCATCACTGAAACACACAAGGATTATCATCAATTACTATCACAAATACATTATTAATGATTAGTATAGCTCCATTCTCCCGTGCCATCACTTGGATCCTATGCATCTTTTAAGGCTCAACTTTATCACTTCTCTAAAGATTTCCTGATCCAAGCTGGGTGAATATGATCCTCCTCCTCTGATTCCTTTGGCGTCCCCTCATGTGGCAACTGGCATGCATAGTCTCATATCTTAAATATCTTTTCTGAATATCTCTTATAAGGTGAGGACTGTTTTCTGTGAATTCTTTACAACAGCAAGCACACAATAAATATCTTTGACAAATTTTGTGAGTATTTCTCTGCCACTAAAACAAAATGATACTGTCCTAACATGTTTCCACAGTGCTGAGTAGGAAAAGATTAGGATCTGAATTGGGGTGGGGAGCACAGAGCTCAGGTTGGTGTGAACAGCATTGTTTCTGATGCACTTGTCACTTTGCCTATCTGTCATTTAAACAACATCTGAAACTGGCAAACTTGAACAGACTCTTTGGTTTTGCTTCCTTTTAGCTTGATATCTCTGGCATTTATTTGTCAATAACGTTAATTTGAAATGATTCTCTCTGAGGGAATCAAAACGGACACACGATGCCACACTCTTCCATTCTCTGGCTCACAATCGTTTTTTGGTAAAAGCCTTTTCTAAGTCAGTAATTTTCACAGTGTATTCTCCGAGGGTTCCACAAAAAAGCTTTGAGAGGTAAAAGCAAACCCAGGAGGTGGTATAATGAAGATCTGCTCCCTATTTCAAGCACAGCAGCTCCATATTTTTAATTCCTCTATATTTTTAGGGTCAGCACTACAGTTTTTATAATTGTCTGATTTTTTCCAAAAAATAAAATAAAAATTGAAAACCACTATTCTTAAAGATCTATAAGCAATATCAAGGAAGAAAAAGGCCAGGAACATATCAGCACTGGTGTAGACATCTCACATCCAAACTTTTCCAGTCAAGAAACCAGAGCCTCCTGTAAGAATTCTTGTTTTCACTTTACCCAGTATTTTTAAGTTGGTGTGATTCTGCATGTTGTGGGAGCCCATAGAGATACTCGAATCCATTCAAGGAGAAATCCAAACCAATGGAGGCAGGACCTGTAGGGAATAGAATATTGACTGAGTTTTGTTTCTCAATGGAACAATCAATTAAGGAGATTCAGTTAACTATGAGTGTAGCAAGATGACTAGACTAGGGATAGGTCAAGAGACCTGAGCTTGCCTTGATCAATCAGTAAATCATGTGTCCTGACTCTATGTAAGATATTATATTCAGGTGTAGGGATACAAAATGTACGAGGCAAAGTTCTGGTCACTTATTAGTTTTGTTCCCTTAGGTGTGTGGTGAAGCTCTTTGTGTCTTCATTTATAGTAAATCTCTTTGCTAACTGTAAAATATGGCTACAAAGTTTTAAATATTTTTCTAATCTAATTTTTTCTAAAATATAGCTGCATATTTTGCTTTAGGAAGCGAAGGATATTGAGCAATTTTAATCTTCACTAGATGAAAGACTGGGTATCTTCTGCTTGATTGTTTATTCTTACTGTGTCCAGGGACTATGTCAAGGGCACCAGGAGGACTTTTCCTGGCTCTTCAAAATGCCCTCTGATTGTAGATATATAAATTTCTTCTAACCAAAGACAAAGTCCTTTATTTAACAATTATTTTAGAGATATGAGAAAAATGCAAGTACATAGGAGAGAGAACACCGACTTAAATTCACTCTTACGTTAAAGTATTTGACATCAAATGATCCTTATTTGAAGGAGTTTATGTAACTGGGGTGCTACAGAGAAGGTAAAAAAGATTATGATATTACATAAAGGATAGTCTGAGGGACCCCCTGCTAATAAATTTTGGGCACATTGTCAGTCCTGACCATAATATACTAGGCTATAGATATAGATGCTAAAACAGGGATTCTCAAGGAGTTAGGGAGGGTCTGTCATTCTATACGATAGGGAAGAGTAAGGAAGAAAGCGAGTATTTTTTCCAACTACATAAGCCCCAAAGATATGAAAGGTATCTCCTAAAGAGACAAACTCTGTATACAAATACCCCACCCTCCCCCACCCCCACTATCACTAAGCCTAGGGAAAAATGTCACAGATGGGCATGTGATGCTCATGTGAATGATGGGGAGGTCTGGAAAAGGCTGAGAACCACTGACTTGGAATGTTAGAACTGATGAGCTCTAGAACTTCATTTCTCATCACTTGACTCTCATAAAAATAGAATGCGGTATTTGCAGCTGTCTGATATCCTGGATAGTGCAAAGTGCAAGCAGTGTGCTGACCTAGGCCACTCCATGAGACCATAAGTTCCATGAAGCCTATATATTTTTTATAGTCTCCACAAGGCATACAATCACTATTTCTTTCTTGTAATGCATTATTGAAGAGCAGAGGACCCAAATCTGAGATTTCTGTCCACCTTATAGAAGTCAATTGTTTAGGTGCCAAAGCTCAAGAGACTTATAGAAGTCAATTGTTTAGGTGCCAAAGCTCAAGGGACTTTTAGATAGAGACATTTAGCCATTTTGGAAAGATCTGTTTTAGCACTACACCAGTTTCAATTTTACCATTAACTTTGACATCCACATATTTTCCGAATTTCTCCTCCCACAGGCCCATGTCCTCTTGATTTTGCTGTTGGAACCAAAAAAAAAAAAAAAAAAGAGCAAATTAAGATTATTTTCCTCAGGAGGTCACTCCTGCCCCTCCATTGTGATCAAGTTCCTTGTTTATAGTTTCTTATAACATCTTTTTGTAACACTCTTAATGCTTGTAATTATTTAGTGTCTGCCTTTCCCAATAGATTCTAAGTTTCATGAGGACATGGGATTTGTTTTATTCACTGCTGATTCTGCTTGCCTAGCATAATTTTTTGTGGTTGGCACAAAGCAGGCACTCAGGGATTACCTGTTTTAGAAATGAATAAATACATGAATGAACAAATGAATGAATCAATGAGATGACAAGGCCAGCAAAAGAGAGAGGTGGTCCCATTTATATATAGTAAAGCATTTATCAAGTACCCATCTACAGAAGAAGGGAAGAGCAGAACCCATTATATATCACATAATAGTGATGATCGTGAAAAAGATAAAAAAAAATGACAAACTGCTCAATTTAGATTACCTGAGAGGTGTCAACTGATGCATCTTCTTCATTTTCTTTGGTAGCTCTGTTTTAATATAAATAAAGTTGTTTCATGTTTGACAAGACTGACAGAATTTTGTTTAATGATAAAGATACTCATTTCCAACTTTTGAGACCCCCAAAAGTATGTCCTTTAACTAATTAAAAATAACATCATTATAACATAAATTTGAGAAATTAAACATTTAGGATGAAATTAATCAAATTGCTTGATTTCTTATAAAAATAGATATATTTGAATTTTCTTAACCCTTTAAAAATAACGATTTTTTTTATTATAAATGTAATACATGCTCATAATATTTAAATATAAGCAAGGTAGAAAACAGCTCTCCTTACCCAATGTTATCCTAGTACAGAGCAGCATAATACACTGCCTTCCAGAATGACTGTGACAACTTATTCTAGCCCACAGATGTATTTGAGTGCTCATTTCTCTCTACTCATAACAATATTGGACTTCAGGGATTTTATAAAATGTTTGCCAACCTAAAATTTTAGAAAAGATAATGCATTTCTATTTGAAAAAGATGTAGACTACCTTTTTATACATAAAATGGTATTTGTATTTCTTCTTCTAGGAAGTGTCTAGTCATACTCATTACTTTTTTTTGTCATGTAAAATACAGCATGTACATAGAAGAGTATGTAATGTATGTGCAGAGTTTAAAGAATAATGTCAAAGGGAGAAACTATGAATCCAGCAGTGAGCATAAACAACAGAAATGATTTGTTCCTTTGGAGTTCCCATCTAGATTCACTTTTTTTTGCATGTGGATGTCCAGTCATTTCAGAACCATTTGTTGAAAAGGATATCTTTGCTCCATCTTATTGTCTTTGCTCCTTTGTCAAAGATCAGTTTTTATAAACTGTTGGATTCACTTTAATATTTTGTTGACTATTTTTACATTTACGTTCATAACAGATATTGATCTGTAGTTTTCTTTTCTTGTAATGTCTTTGTCTCATTTTGATATTAGGATAGCGCTGGCCTCTTAGAATAAGTTAGGAAGAAGTTTCTCTTCTATTTGCTAGAAGAGAATGTAGAGAAATTGGTATAATTTCTTACTTAAATGTTTGGTAAAATTCACCAGTAAACCCATCTGGGTCTGATGCTTTCTTTTCTGGAGAGTTACTAATTACTGACTCAATTATAGGCCTATTCAGGTTGTCTATTTTTTCTTACGTGAGTTTTGGCAGATTGTGTCTTTTAAGGAATTGATCTATTTCATCTAGGTTAACACATTTGTGGGCGTAGAGTTGTTCATAATATTCTTTTCATTACCTTTTTAATGTTCAGAGGAACTGTAGTGATATCCTGTTAAGAGTGTCACGTTTTCTAAAGTCTGGGAATCATTTTTGTCATTAAGACTGCACTTACCTGCATAGGTGAAAAGGTGAAATTTCTAAGAATAATATTCTAGCAAATAAGGCAAACCAATTTTCTGCAGTGATAATACTATCTATTTAAGCAACTGGTATTCACAATCAAGTTTTCTTAAGTTCTTTACGTGTCAAGTAATGTGCAAAAATACCTTTCCTTGAGAGGAATCTGCAGGTGCTCAAAGTACAATTGGCCCAGGGAGTTTATGCTCATTACAACCTCTTCTTCAGACACCAAGTCCACCTTGAATGGGTTTGCTGTGATATGACACTTAAGATCTCCTTTTCCATTTGTTAATTCCAGACTGCCTATATCCCTGGAGCATGAAATTAGCCTAGAAACAAAAGGAGGAAAACTAAATTGGCTCAATGTGATTCTCAATTCAAAATGCTTAGTAAATTGGTATTCATGTGACATAGCATAGATAAGGCAGTGGACATCCATAAGTGAGAGCACAGGCTTTGGTGTCAGAGAGCCTGGATTGAACATAGCTCTACCATGCACTAGATGTACAACTGATTGACAACAAGTTAATCAATCTTTCTAGTTCTCATTTTCTTAATTTATAAAGTGGAAATAATAAAAGCAAGAACAAATAGAGCCTTTTGAGAGAATTAAATGAGATCACATATGTTAAACACTTGGCACAGTGCCTGGTACACAATAAGCATTCAATAAATGTTAGCTATCATCATCATTATCTTGGTCTGGACAGTCTAGTAACATTTTGGTACACAGAATCTAAACACTTTGCTTTTCTTTCCCATTCTAACCAAATATTCAGAAACTAAGGAAATAACACAGCTTGTGTTTTGGGCCTAGTGTGTCCACACTGAGATGGAACCAAGCCAAACTTCTGTTTATCTATCTATTACCTGACTCCTATCAGCCTCAATCCGATAAGTAGACTGTTGGGATGTTTTGGATCCCCAGGAATTATGTAAGCTCAGAGGCAGCACTTAAAAGCTCTTAGAGGTCTAGATACTTCTTTCTCTAGTGCATAATCTCCCTGGTAATGGTCACAGACCTCTTTAGGAAAGATTAGGAAGGATAGTTTATGTTCTTATATTCTTACAAAGTCCTTCTCCATGAATTCTAGGTCTCTCTCTCAAGCAAGATGCTTGGGTTCTGGAAACTAACTCTGTCTGAAACTAATTGTGTCTCACTGTTCATTAAATCTAAACAGAATTCTTTTGATTATTCTATCAAGTAGGACTTTAATCCATCTGTTTCAGCCTAATGTACCCCTAGATATACTGTTCACTGCCCTGAGGATTTAATCATTTCGAATACCACAGAGGCTCTGCTGCATGTTATGAAAACATGTCCACCTTATCTGTAACTAAATGCTGCCACTTTGGCTCTGCCACCTGGAGGCTCATCATCTCCACTGAAATCAGGGATCCCTTTTTAATGGCATCATTTTCCATCATTATCTCTAGTTTGCAAAAGATGTTTATTCACTATAGTACTTTCTAAGTGTTCCCTCACCAATGTATTTCTCAACAAAGGGAGTATCTTCTGGAACCTCTTGGAGACAGAATTAAGGGCTAGATGAGATGGTTGCATATGAGATACCCACTTCAATATCTTTATATCTCTAAGTCTATGGATCATCTCTTCTATACTGTGCCAAGGAATTTTTGGTATCTCAGCTTCATTCAGCAGAGTCCATAGCTGAATACAGAAAACCATTAATTAGCCAAGCAAATAATTAGACCACTCCCAGCTGTCGAAGTTAGCATATCAAATCTAGACTCTCTGGCACATGTACCCATGTCAATAAATTTAGCATGATCCTAAAGTTATGTTCCTTCCTTCTGGTCCAGGAATCCCTCAGAAATCATTTCCATGCATATTTCCCAGGTTTTTGCCAATATAAAATTTTATGATTCTTTAGGAGTGTAAGCCTTCTCCTCCTATAGTTGGTTCCCTAGCATGTTGGACTCTGATTCTGATACTGGGTCTGGAGGCAGTGAAGGGTGGTAGGGGTGAGGTACACAGAGCATTGGAATCCCTTTCCATGGTATATCTTAGGTGAAGTCAACACTGGATGTCCAAGCAAGATAGGAACAGCTTCATCAGACAGAGGAGAAAGAGCTGCTTCTGCCAGAATAGGAGGCAAAGTAGAATTATGTGGTTTGTACTGAGAGTTGTCTGAATCTTCCCAAATGTTGCTATTCACTTTTGAGGAGTTCTACCTTTTCCCAGTAAATGTTCTAAATACATAGACCTGATGAGACTGTGAATTCAATTATGGCCAAATTCTGCAAACCACAGAACCAAACTCTATTATCTAATTTTCAGCTACAAGGACTTTGTAGCTAAACAGATGTAAGGGACTTTTAGGATTGTCAGAAAAATCTATTAGGTTTCTAACAATGCCTTGAGCTAAGAATTTAAAGCTCTAAGACTGCTCTTTTCTTTAAGTTCTTCATAGCACCAAGGTCACCTTAGAGTTCTGAATTCTGTATAACAGGCTGTGCTGTGGTCCCACCACTTGGTCTGCTAGAGCCATGCTTTCAATAGGCACTTTATTTCAGTGGACCACAAGTAGTAATTTAAGTAACTTTGCCATGGAATGACATGGTTTGTTACTAGTTGTATTATTTTGCTATGGCTACCATAATAAAATACCACAGACTGGGTAGCTTAAATAACAGAAATTTATTTTTTCACAATTCTGGAGACTGAAAGTCCAAGATCAAAGTGTCAGGAGTTTTGGTTTCTTTTGAGATCTCTCTCCTTGGTGCAGATGGCCACCTTTCTGTTTTGTCCTCACATGGTCATCCCTGTGTCTGTGTTACCTGTGTCTTAAATTCCTCTTCTTAAAGGACACCCATACTGGATGAGGGCCTACCCTGATGACCCCATTTTAACTTAATTACCTCTTCAAATGCCTTGTCTCTAAATATAGTCACATTCTGAGGTACACTTGAGTTTGGTGAGGGGACACAATTCAGTCCATAACACAAATACCTCATCTTCTAATGATAATCAGGTTCTCACTGCTTTCAAATCCCACTAACCAACCTCATATTCTCATTCTGGAGGGTCTATTGCTTATACTCGCTTCTGATAGCAATGACTATATCAACCAAGACCCAACAGTAGGTAATAGAAACAACTCTGGCTATTTAAAGCTTAAAGATAATGTCTTAATACGGGGAATAAGGAGCTTACAACATCATGGGAAGGGTTGAGGTAGCAGGGAGTCCAGCAATGACCCCAAGAACATAACTGTGGGGCCAATGGAACTTTCATCCCAGCTAGAATCAGGAAGTTGGGTTATCAGAAGTCATCATGGCAACTGCTGGACTCTAGGATTATGGCACCTTAGCTGTAATCCAGAGACCAGGAAACCAATGCCCTAACTAGTATGGCTCTAGAGCCATTCTACAGCTGCCAAATCCATCCAGTAAAATTAGAAACTCAGTTCTGAAATCAAGATACCTGTAAGTGCATCTGATTGGTGGAACCTGGATGACATCAGAAGCTAGCTATAAGGAGGTCTGGGAAATGGAGAAATGTAGTCTTTAGCTTTCTAGTTACTGCAATAGCCAAAGGCCCTCTAGAAAGTGATTGAAACAGAAGCAGAACTAACATACCTATTTACTACACAAGCTAATAACAGCATGACCCTGATATATGGCAAAGATAGCATAGAAAAAAAGTAATTTACAGACTAATTTTACTTACGAATACAGATGTAAAAATGTAAATGATCTACTAGTAAAGTGAATCCTCCAGGATAGTAAAGAATAATATATTTTAACTAAGTGGAGATATATGTATATGTATATATAACTCTTTTGTCAAACTGCAAAGCCTTGAGAGCAGTCTCTTTTTAATTTGTCTCCTGAATTCTTAGCATATAGTAGAGGCTCACTGAATAGATACATTTCAGATTTATGATGGTTCTACCATAATTAAATCATTTCTCCTTATAATCTCTTGATCTTTTATTTTCATGGAAATAATGCAAATTATTTTTTCATGGACAAAATAATCTACATAAAACAATGATAATGATGTAGATAAAGTTAAAGCATCTGGCACAATCTTATATTCCCTTAGTGGAATAATATGAAAAAAAATAACAGAAATCAACAGGTAAAACCAAGTTAAAATATCACTGGAAAGTATGCTAAGAACTGATAAAGATTTTGCAGGTATATGAATCCCTAAAGATTTTTTTTCACTTAGACACTGATTATTAATTTATCTCTGATTCTAAGTCAAATTACATGTTAGACTTCTGAGACTACCCATAATTAAAAGTGAGTCAGTCTAACTGTATAAATTACTGTAAGCATGGGAGTTTGGCTAGTATATTAGATCTCTGGAGCCTTGCTGCTAACCTGAGTAAATTAAATAGCTCTCCTACTTGCTCTCAAGTCTGGTTGATAAATTGTTTTCTTTGTGAGGAGAGCTCTGGCTCTCCCTATTAATAAGTACTGATGAGTCAAATGGTAGATGAAGAGAAAATAGAATGGATAACATACAAAATGGAAACTAACTCTACAAATGATTGTAGCTTTGAATAGACTAAATATGAGGTCCATATAAAATATACTACTTGAGCTATGATAAAATAACACATTGAGAGTGTATTCAAGAAATCTTGATTCTTGGCTTACCTTACAGTGTTTGGCTTGCTTGTGAGGACATCGGGAACTTCGTACCTGGGCTTCAGGGGACTTTCTTCATTGATTTTAAATCTGAAAATATTTCCTTCTATACTATAAACTTCAGTCAAAAGAGGGACCTGGAAACAGACTTTAAGATTAGTTGCCACAGATTACTCCAGAGATGGTCAGTTCTACAAATAACAATAATTAGAAAACTATCTTTAAATTATTACAGGCTAAGCAAACTAGAGAACAATGGCAATCATGAAGAAAAAAGCTCCCCAGTCTATGTATGTACTTGCTTGGCTATACCTGTGGTAGAGACAAGATACATCTATGTGTTCTATGGCTAGGCAAACATATAATTGTCCAGACAAGAACCTTTAAGAGTAAAAGAGGTTTCTATTAATTATTATACTGGATGACAGGCATAAACAGAAACTGCTTTTGGAAAATTGGGACATATGACCACTGTATCTCTGACAAACTACTCAAGGTATGATAAAATAACATGTGAGGGTGTACTCAAGAAATCTTGAATAAGAGTTTGATGTTAAAACTAGAGTAACTGGATTCCAGCTAAAAAAAAAAGATGAAGGGTAATAAGCCACAGAACAAAATAGAGTCAAATGGTGGTCATCAGGGTACTCTAGTGTAGATGAATGACGCTTGTTGCACTAAAAATACACCTGGGTATATGGCCTGGGGATCTTTCTCAGGAGGCTGAGGAACTTAGGTAAAATTCTGCCTACAGTGGGAGATGGAAACAACATAGAATTGTAAAGAAAATACAGAATCTGAAAAATAAAAAACAAAAAACCCAAGAGTAGCAATGTCTGGATTTAGGTTACAAAATGAGGTATCTTAGATCAGAGAAATATTTCAAAGCTGTGGTTTTCAACTTGTGTGCCATGCCATACTTTGCAATGTAAATTCCAAATCCTTATCAAGTGTGATGCCAAACCCTGGTTCCAACTGGGTAGGTATACCTAGTGTTACTAAATATTTGCTAAATGAAAGGCGAGGCTGGGTAGACATAGTATAGAGCAAGTACAATGTGGTGCAATTAAGAGAGAGGGAGAATATCAAAGCAGCACCAAATATATGATGTTACTGAACTTTGCTTTTAAGAATATAGACTAGTCATGATACTTAAACAGTAACATGACACTGAAAAGTGACCAGGTAAACAGTGCAGTGGCTGCGGCTGCTTTTATAGATATTCTTAAGACAGAGTTATGTTGTAGTGATCATACTGTAATTATTTTTCCCAGCTTTATTGAAATAACTGGTATATAACATTGTCTAAGTTTAAGATGTACAGTGTGTTGATCTGATACATATATACTGCAAAATGATTGCCACCATAAAGTATTAACTATAATCACTATGCTGTACATTAGATCTCCAGAAGTTATTCATCTTATAGTTGGAAGTCTGTACTCTTTGACTGATATTTCCTCTTTCCCCCGACCCCAATCATACTGTAATTATTGCTTACTTATTTAATGTTCTTTTGTATTTAAATCACTTAAAAGTATGCCATTGGAATTCTAAATTTGAAAATGTATCCAAATATAAAGCTGAAATCCTGTTGGTTACGTATTCTCTCCCAAATTATACATATATTTCTGTTGCTCTCTCAAATTCAATTCAACTTTATTTGGTATCTAATACCATGATGTGCTTTTTGCTGGAAAAGGATGGCTAAAGTCTTAGGAGATTGCAATTTAGAGGAGAAAAACACATACATAGTAAACATAAAGCATTTTATAATAAGACAGGACAAGGACAGTGTTGTGGGAGAACAAAGAAGGGGAATGTTAATGATGACTATATAGAGAAGAGTTCTATGACATCACTCTGAAGGAAAAGGGACTTGAGCAGGGCCTTCAGGGACTTTGAGTAGGCAAAAATGGGGCATGAGTTCGCTGCACAGATGGTACATAGGTTGTCTATATGTGATTAAATTGTATGTACTCAAAGATATCCTTCCCTTTTTAGTAAATAGCTTTCTTTAAAAATTTTTCTTTTTAAACCAAACACTGATCTATTTGTTCCGTTCTTGAGGCTGCATTCAAAGAAAGAATCCTAATTATATGAGGAGGTAGCAATAACCCTGCTTTTAACATAATGACCTTATGCAACCAAACATAAAAATCAGCGTCAACTTCCCATTCTATTGTCATTTTAACTTAATTAAGGAAGCAGATTTTTTTCCAATAGCTAACCCTTTTCAAAGTCAATATCCAGATTCATTCTTATCTCTTATCACCCCAACATAGCTTCATGTTCCAAGTACATAATTTCCTTAGACCTTAGTATACATTTGCTTCTATAATCTGGCTCATGCTGTTTTTAGTGGCTTAAAAAATTTTTTTTTTAACAACAGCACACTTTGAACAGTCCAATAAATAAAGTACTCGGGTTGAAGAGAGTAGGGAGCAGCTTACAGCCTACCTTTAAGCCCCCTCCTCTCCCTGCACTGAGCCTCCATGGAATCCTCAGGGCTCTGTGAATGACAGTTTATAATAACCACTTCTCTGGGCTTCTTAACTGCCAGTTATTGCCCAGTTCTTCTACCAAAACCTTGCTCTGTCAAAAAAGTCTAGAAATAAATGTTATATTCTTTTATCTAAAATATTAAGTATTTGTAGAATTCCTGTCCTTCCCTAGGGACTTGTTTGGACACTTATTAAACAATAATATACCAATAAATTATCCACTTTTTTCCTATTAGTGATGATTGGAAATGACAATGAAAAATATTAAGTTACAGAAGCTAGGTCACTTAAACATTATTTAGTGTTAATACTTAGATAACAGCAGTTACACTCAAATTGCAGCAAGATGGATTTGTGTAAAATAAGTGAAGGAACTTATAACTAAACATTTTAAATGAGGTGAGACAGCCTGGGTTTTTTTTACTCCCCTAAAAATATTTAAGATGGATAAATGTTCACCTTCACAGGGGATGAGATAAATCCTCAAAGAAATACATTTTAGAGGTTCCTTTTAGTACCACAAGTCTCTACTTGGTTTTTCATAAACCTTTATTCAGAGGCTTACTACCTCTCATAGGAAAGAGTATTAATTTCTCTTTCCTATTTTATTTCTCCCATACTAAATATATGAAACCTGGTAGTTTGTCATCCATAAGTCTAGTTTTTTTGGCCATATAGGTCAAAATCTTAGACAGGTTGTAAAAATCATGGTGGCAGAAGCAGAAGCAGCCTTGTCCAGGTATTCAAGTAGTGGATTAATCACGATTATATTAGAATGAAACTTTTTGTTCACCCATTATAGGGAATCATGACTATTAGAGACTATGACAGCCCTAGAACACATATTTAAATGGCATTAGGAAGGGAAATTATGACCCCATCAAGTTCTCCTTGATGGGTAGATCCCACTTTTCCTCTGGCATCAGGTCTACTATAATTGACCTCTCTCAGCCATTGATCAAGACCTCCCAGGATTCAGAGAATGGCCTAAGAGTTCATTGCTGTAGGTCACCAAATGCCCTTCCACAGTTGCAGCCAGTTGGTTTACTGCAAGCACTGATTCTTTACCGAGAACGTTGGCAAGTTCACTCTGGGCATTAGCCCATTCCCAAAGGACAATTAGCCTGTTCAGGTATGCTTCTGATTGGCCAGTTTCCAAATTAGCGGCCTACTCTTGGCCATTTCTGCAGAAACTGTATTGGCTAACAAATGGTAATTGTGCCTCATTTGCTGAGGAGGTGGCTGCTTGGGAAAAGTCCCATTTTTATCAGGCTTAGGTGAAGAGGCAAGGGGTCACTTCATAGACATGCTCAGAGACATCCCTGCATCTTTGGACAAGCTGCTAGAAGTGCTGTCTCTGTTGAAAACTTGCAAATGGGCTGCAAAAAAAAAAAAAGTGAGCATATTGCCAAGTGGTCATCCATGTCATGAGAAAGCATCAAAATTAGCAACATAAAATAGGTCAAAAACAAGTCTGTTGCTTCTTAGCTAGACACAGAAGATATCATAAACATCATAAATTTCCTTGCTTTGATGTCACAAGACTAGATTTTCTGTTTCGCAATCCAGATCAAATTTTCACTAAAGGTAAAAAATTGTTAACAGTAAGAAAAAACAGTTCCAAAAAACAAAACAGTCAACACTTTAATGATAACTCTTTTCTTTCCAGAGTTCCTTCTGGAAGATTCTTTATCAAATATCTACCTAATTATTTTGTCATCAGAAATAGGCAAGATACCAAACTGGGACCCCGTGAGAGAAAACGTAGGCATTTGAACCTGCAACCAGCTTTTCTTCAAAGCCTACATGTCCAGAGCACGATCTGGAGAAAACACACAGGACAACACTTGAGCTTGTACTGTAACGTTACTGTGTCTCAGGAACACTGTGTTTGCTATAGGCTGAATTGTGTCCCCTCATCCCCAAATTCACATGTTGAAGCTCTAACCCCCAGTTGATGGTATCTGGAGATGGGGCCTATGGGAGGTGATTAGGTTTAGATGAGTTCATGAGGGGCCATGGCAGGATTGGTATCATTACAAGAAAAGAACAGAGTCGGCTCTCTCTATTCTATGAATATACAATAAGGAGGTGGCAGTCTATAAGCCAGGAAGGGGATCCTCACCAGACACCTAGATTTTGGACTTCCCAGACTCTAGAACTGTGAGAAATAGATGTGTGTTGTTTAAGACACTGGTCTACGGTATTTTGTCATGGCAGCCAGAGCTGACTAAGATAATGTTAAATGAAGCTTGGTTTCCTGGTTGCTTAAGAGGCAGACTTGGGGGAGAGGGGTGGGAAGAAGGATTTCAAAAATTAACAACAGATTTGCCAACAAAGTTACTGCTTTAAGAGTTTTACTGGTGTGGGGGCAGGCAGACAGTAAGAGTGCTGGGGTTGTCAGAATCTGCCTCATCATTGAAATCTGAGAACTGCAGCTGTGAGCTGAATAAGGATCCTCTTAGACTTCAGGTTCTGTCTCTCTGAACCTGAAATAAAAAGCTGTCGCTCTGAATGAGTGAATGTATACAGCTTGTTTTAAACCTTTAGACCACACCTATACCATATGCTAGTGTGAAATCACCCGTGAAACACTCATTCCAGAAACAACCTCTAACGGAGGCTCATTGACAATACAGTGAGTGGATCTGTGTTGTCCCTATCAAACTGATAGAGGGTATGAAACCTTAAGTCCCTATTAGTCATCTCAAGTCCAAGTGACTAGGATTATCATTAAAATGGAGTTCAGCTCAGAATTTCAGGGGGACTTCCCCTAAACATACACATTTGCATACATCTGCTATGCAGCCCTGATCTTTCCAATACCTGAAAATGGAGTCTGTTCCAAGGGGTCCTCAAAGTTCTGTCTTGGAAGCCATATTGCTGACATTCTGGATAACTTGCTTGTTGGGCTTCTCAGCTCACTTCTGAGCCATGTGCTGTCTTATGCTGAGATCCTGTGGGTGCTCTCGGACTGTGGCTTCTCTTCCTTTGAAGGCATCCAGATCTGGTGGGCTCTGGTTCTGGCATCTGATCTGAACAGCACTATCTCTCATATTTTCAGGATCCAGAGAGGTATGTGCAGAAAAATTGATCTATAGTCTTGTAAAAGGCCATATGTGGGGACCTACCACTAACTATACTGGTATCAAGCAGCACTGAGAATCTGCAAGTTGGCCCACACTGGTATTCAGGTGCTTTTGTGTCATTTACTTTGCCTCAGTATATGTCATTATGATGCTGGATTGTTCAGGTTGTGCTCAATATACTAAAACTTCATAAGGAATGTAGCCTTCTTCATTGTGCAATTGCCCTTCCTGTCTAAGAATAAAGTTGGGATCCTTCGCTAAGCTAAAGGCCTTACAATGTTACAGAAAAACTCCTGATGTTCTGGGGTAGTTTTTGTTGTCTACTCTGAGATCTCTCAGTACAGCAGTATAAGGCCAGAGCTTTGGTAGTTACAAGGAGCTCTCTCACAGCTTTGCAGTGAAAGTGGGGATTTCTTCTCAGTCTGATTTGTTAGTGAGTTGGTGGAGTTACTATCCAAGCTATTAGGGACTTAGACCACATGGCTTTAACTATATCTTTCAGTTATGTGAATTACCAATTAAGCCAGCTTTGTCTGGGTGGCCTTAGAAGCTTAGGATGCCTTTCAAAGATGGGGGATGATCTGGAAGTGAGGGTCACGTTGGGAACATCAGGTACTTGTGCACAGCCACACTTCCTAGCCAAGTCCATAGCACTTCCTCTATGACTGGCCCCGTTGTATGGCCCATCTCTAGTAGTCTGGTGACTCAACAGGTAAGGAAAAAAACTTGGGACACAGTACTGCTCTAATCTTTTCGGTATGTAATAACTATGGTGATCTGCTAGTGAAGCAGCTTAGGAGAGGGGAAATTTGTGACTTATATTTTCCAATTGCATAGTCCCTCGATCCCCTAGCCTACCTACATTTTGAGGTTTAGGCATTCACCAAATCTGTACCATGCTCAGGCTGCATGCTCAATTGTACATTGTGTAATAGCGATAGAACATGGTGCTTAATAAGAGTCAACATATCCAGGTAAAAGTTCTGGTTACCAGCTACAACAAGTAAAGATACCAGTCACTAGCTGTGACTTTGAGCAAGTGACTTTTTAAACTTCAATTTCCTCATCTGAAGTTGGGGATAATATGATGTGCTTCTTAGATGTCTTGTGAAGACTAATTAAAAGGAAATAACATGTAAAACATCTAGGAAAGCATCTGATACTCAGGCAATCTATACGTTGACTTTAAAGTAATATTAGTGTAGAAATGAAAAAGATTACATTACTTTTTTAACAAAGTTTATTTCTGAAGCACACATAATTTTAATTAATTTTTGTGGAAATTTACTTCATTCAACCCAAATAAATATAGAAACAAATAATTCTCTGTAAAAAACATTTTTATCTCACCTTAGTTGCTTCATTGATGATTTGGAAGTTGGTACTGTCTTTGCCTACTGTGACTGAGTCTAGTAATGCCTGATAGGTGGACTTCTTGGAGAGCTGCTGTTTCTGACGCCTAGATATGGAGTATACAGATTTCAGAGAATTATTTGTGACTGTCAGCATCCAACAGACTATATTACGAGTCATTAAAATTTACTATATGATGGTAAGTAAATTGTGAAGACAGTTTTAGTACTCCAATAAGGTACTAACAGGAGTACTTTGTTATTAGAGTGCTAATAAAATTAGTACTAATAAGAAAAATACTAATAAAATTGTTCAACATAATATTGCTCCAAGTATTTTCTGCCTTTTTTGAGAAAGTGGGGCAGTTTTCATAGATGACATTTATTAGCTTGTTAATTTCATTCCCTCTTTCTACAACATGTACGCTTTAATAGAAACTCAATAAATTCTAGTGGAAATCTAATACAATCTAGTGGTTTAACAAGATGACTGGAAGTTCACTATGGAATTCCCTCTACAGTACTTGTTCATAATTAAAATGATATGATTTTCTTCCTCTAGAGTAGTGTAAATAAATTAGAAAGTTGTAGTATATGATACAATTTTTGGTGATTTCAATTTCAGGGTTAGATAAGTCTCTGGGGAAACAGGCAATCTTACACAGTGATGGAAGTACAACACAATACAATCCCTAGGGAGAGATATCTGGTAATAGTTAAAATTTCAAATACATTTACTCTTTGACCTGGTAATCCCACTTTTGGAAATTCATCCTATAAATACTTGCATATACAGGAAATGACATATATAGCTTTTCATTGTGGCAGTGCCATTATAGCAAAATATTGAAAACAATCCAAAAGTCTAGCAATATAGGAGAAACTGAATATAGCACATCTACCTAATTAAATACTATATAGCTGTAAAAAGAGAGGATAATCTCCATATATTCATAATGAGCTCTTCAGAATAAAGTATAAAGCAGAAAAAAAAGAAGCACCTACTTTATACAGAAAGCTACTTTGTATAAGATAGGTGATAGAAGAATATGTGTAGTCACAAAAAGAAATATGGGAAGGATTAATAAGAAATTAATAAATCTGGTTGCAAGGACAAGATGTGGAATGGCACAGGAATAGAAATAATACTTTTCAATGTACATCTTTTTATTTTATTTAATTTCTGAACCATGTAAATGTGTTATCTATTCAAAGACATACAATTTTAACATTAGTTTAAAAACAATTTGGCTTAATTTACTGAAAAGTTTAAATAACAGTAATAAGTGTATAAAGGCGAATGTCTCCTGTCTGATAAATTCCTTAATCACTGAAATTTCCTAATCGACTCTTTTCTTAGAAAGCCTATCTGTTCTCAAAAATTTATTAAACATCAGTTTTGAAATAATGTCAGAAATGTTTCAATCTAGGTAATACATTTCCATTCCTTACCTGTAGAAAGCAATGTTGCTGCAGTCTTTGAAAATGTCTTTATCCACAGCTTCATCTTCAACACTAAATAAATAGACATTTTAAGAAAGTTATTTCACATTGGGTTTGTGAATCCAATTTTTATACCTTTTCTAACTATGGTATGAACATGGGAAGTAAAGCTCTGCAATGCAAAATTGTGTCATGGCCACAACATAACACAATAAAATGTGTGAACAAGATCTTTTTGTAAATCATTCAAGGTAAACAACAAAACAAAACAAGTTCTGGGATTACTCTGTAAGCAAGAGAAAAAGAGCACTACCACTTACGAGGAAGGATATTCACAAAATAATGAGTGAAAGCTATGACTGCCACAATAAAATCTGAAGGAACAAAAACCCCAAATCAAACAAACAAAATCCATCCACTTATTTATTCAACAAAATATTTTCAAAATATTCTTATTTGGTGCTGAGCTCTGAGGAAAATATGGACTGTGTCCAAGATTTCTGAGAGAGTCTAACCAACAATCACAAATCAACCTGACACATGCTTTAACAGAGGTATGTGCAAAGTACTAGAATAAGAATAGAAACAGGTATAGAAGAAAAATCAGCTTTTTAAATAGATGCTGACAATCTTTGGCGATCATCCCAACTTTCCAAGATATCAGTGATTTTTAAGACCAAATTTCCAGAACAGCTGTTTCTGGAATAGAACATGAATAAGATGTATGTATATTGCCACCTGAGATTATGTATTTAACATGTGCCAATTAAAACAACTACAGGGTGTAAGAAAAAAGACACATTGGCTTTCATGCAAAAGTATGGCTGAATGCAGCTGTAGTTAGCATGCCCATGATTATGTAGGCTATGACTGAACACCAAATTAAAAAGATGATGAAAACAAGATCAGACAGATACATTTGGCCATACTAAAATTCTTCATTGACTCACTCTTTGTCACTGTTTCTTTAATCAAGTGTGCAAAGCTTAGAGAAATTTGCAGTTTCCTTTTTTCCAGCTTTGAAGAAAGAGCTCCAGAATGA